AAATCTCTTGCTCTGTGTCAACTCTTGGGCATCTCTTCATGAGCTGCTCTTCCTGCAGCTGAGTGTTCAGAAGTGAACCTGGGATATTAACAAGATCTACTGCATCTGATCCAAAATAAGTAAAGCTGTCCTAATGAGGGAAAATAAAAATAGACCAATGCAAATCACCAGCTGGACAAAAGAACTTGCAAACCTGTGCCCAGCTCCATTTCCCATATTATACTTGTATGCAGTGAGACAAATTTGGAAATAAGGAAATAAGAGCAGCTTCCTCCACATTCCTAAGTGGAAAATACTCCTCAGTAATCATCAATGAGACTTGGGAAACTTAGACCACAGCTCCCACAGTAACATGCGATGAGGAACCTTGACATATGAAAATGTCCAGATCCCAGCCAAGCTTGTCTTGGTTTTTAAGGAATTATGCAATGCCAGCGTCATGGTTTAAACCCAGTCAGCCATAAATCAGCCACGCAGTCTCTCTGTCACTCCCCCCCTTTTCTTACCCCTACTCCTGGAGGGATGGGAAGGAGAATCAAAAGAATGGAACTCCAACAGCCTGAGATAAGAACAGTCCAGTAACTAAGGTATAACACAAACCAGTACTGCTGCCACCAATAATAATAATGATAAGGGAAATAACAAGGGAAGAGAATACAATACCACCCACTGACCGATAATACCTAGCCTGACTGAGCACCAACCAATACCTAGTCCAACCCTGCAGTCTCCCAGCCCTTCCAGGTAACTCCCAGTTACATCCTGGGCATGACGTGCTGTGGTATGGAATACCTCTTTGGTCAGTTTGGGTCAGGTGTCCTGTCTCTGCTTCCTCCCAGCTTCCCCTCCTCCCTGCAGAGCATGAGACTGAGAAAGTCTTTAGTCAGACCAAACATTTGAGCAGTAACTGAAAACATCGGTGTTACCAGTGCTGTTCCCAGGCTGAAAGTGAAAAACCAGCACTGCACCAGGTAGTACGAAGGAGAAAAAATGACTGCTACTGCTGAACCCAGGACAGCCAGGTGGTGTGGGGGGAAGTACAGGATTTCGTTACTTCTTACTCGCACACCGAGTGAAAAAGCAAATGTAGCTTGTCACCCATTCTGGTAGTTCACGTAGCTGCAAGCCCAATAACATCTGTCTCCCTTTTCCTTTACATCATAAGAACTGGGATAGGAAGGGTTCCTTGGCTGTAAAATCATACTGGAGGCAGCAGCTGCTGAAGTGAGCTAGAAAATTACAAGCTTAGGCAGGATACAATGCATCAAAAATTGATGCTGGCTGATGGAACAGTGGGTTTAAACAGCCTGCACAGTGCCCATTACAGCCCAGTTCTGCGAGCAAGCCAGAGTGCTTCCCTTCGAAAACCTCCCAGTGTCTGTTCTGGAGAGAAGCACAGCCTGGCATGAATTTCATACAGAGCCCAACAACTGTGCCAACTGCTCTGGAATGCACTCGGCTGTCTGATTCTGTGAGCTCTTGAGTACTGAGAGGAGTTTTCATTTTAGTGCCTGATTAAGACTTGAATCTAATGGAAGCAGAAACACAGGAGGAAGTATCTTTCATAGCATTAAAAAAAATAAACATGCAATTGAGTGACTGCATACAGTCCTGAAAACAATTTAAAGCTGCATATGGACATAAATCTTTTTTCATCATTATCTACAGGAATTCATGAAAGCATAAAAAATGATGTCTTACTGTAATGGCCAACTGGCAAACCCAGTATGTCAGTACTAGCAGGATCTTCTGCCTGCAGCTGCATCCCTCCCCCTCCATTTCCTGATGATTTTAACCACAGTACTATCACTTCTGAGCACTGAACTGATGCTTTTGAGAAGAAGTGTCAAAAGCATAATTGGAAGGGTCCCAGCAATTTCAAAGAGCACCTACTGTTCTTCACAAATCCATGCATGATTTATAAACACAGCTTAACTGTAATCTTTCTCTTGCTCCTGAGTACACTTGGCATGTGCCTCTGCTAGAATGTTTTGAACTGTGAGTTCCACTGTTTCCCTTGCACAGTTTGTTTCTTCTGCTGTTTCTGTGGGAGTCTTGCTTGAAGACAGATGAGAGAGGGATTATTTTAAATACAAAAACATTTTTGTAAAGCCACAATCACACAAGGAAAAGCAGGCAGAGAATATTTCTAGTTGCCTTTTCTGTTTGTGCTACTCAGTTCTGCAATGATGGCATTTAAAGACCTCTGCAGGAAGGCCACAGAGCCTGAGTCAAAGCCCAGACAATATCCCAGGTGGACCTGCATTGAATTTTCATAGAGTCATAGAACAGTTTGGGTTGGAAGGGACCTTAAAGATCATCTAGTTCCAACCCCCTGCCACAGAGAGGGATACCTTCCCCTAGACCAGGTTGCTCAAAGCCCCATCCAATCTGGCCTCAAACACTGCCAGGGATGGAGCAGCCACAACTTCCTTGGGCAGCCTGTTCCAGTGTCTCACCACCCTCACAGGGAAGAACTTCTTCCTAATGCCTAATCTGAATCTACCCTTCTGTAGTTTAAAACCATTCTTCCTTGTCCTATCACTACATGTCCTTGTAAAAATCCCTCTCCAGATTTCTTGGAGTCTCCCTTCAGATACTGGAAGCTGCTCTAAGGCCTCCCCTGAGCCTTCTCCATGTGAACAAGCCCAACTCTCTCAGCCTGTCTTCATAGGAGAGGTGCTGCAGACCTCTGATCATCAATTTTCCTGGTATTACACTGGCATCTGCACAATTAAATTTCTAAATTCTAGGGGAGGGTATCCTCAGAAAATGACAGCAGTGATGTCCCTCTGTGAATGTAGCTGAATATGAATCAGCCCCTCATACACTTATTGATGTCTTGTGTCAACTGTCCCACATGGGACATTTTGTGTCCATGGGCTTTTAGGTTGTAGGAGAGGAAAGGGACCCATCAACTTCTTTTATTTGACAATTTCTGTGAAAGAGGTTTTCACCTTTTTAACCATACACATGTTTCCCCTGTGCGCCATCCCTGTCAGTTACCTGTCATATACCTTATGTTCCAATTTTGTGATCCATTTCACCTAAAGATAAGATTGTGCCTTAAATTCTGTATTCAGTGGGAGATTAACTTGACTTATCTAACTATGCCACTACATTGTCATTCAGGAAGAAACAGAGAGATGTGAAGCACCTTACATGTTCAAGGATTTCAAAGCTTGTCACAGAGAAGGAAGTGCTGATGGCGAAAGGCAGTGTGCTAAAAATCGTTGTCAGTTGCTGATGTGGAACTTTCATTAGCTTTTATGCAGCCTTTGACACATCCACCAATTTTATTAAGAGAATTAATGGGAGGTAGAACACTAAGATTTTGTCATCTTGTCCTTGGGGCATTCACTGTCAAAGAGACTGATGCAGTAAATGAAGGGTTCAGGCTAACAGAGAGAAGTTGGTGTGAATTTGATTCAGCAGCAGCTCAGAGCAGGATACTGGAAGCTTTTTACAACAACAAAAGAAGTCCACAACAGTTGGCTTTAAGACACTGAGTTTTCCTTCTTTCTTTCCTCATAAAATGGCAGCACTTCATGCAGAGACTGTCAGGTCTGTATCTGTCTCTAATTCCCACAAATAAGAGAATACTGCTCTGTCCCCAGTCATTCATGAAATCTATTAACACTCCTTTTGATTCAGAGAATACAATGTGCTCCTCCCCACATGGGCAAAGCACAGAAGTACTGCAGGAGAGGGCTCACAGTCACTCTGCATGCACACACATGATGTTCATTCTGCCCTGAGCACTTTAAGAGGAAGTGCACCTCTGGTGTGTTAGAAGCCCCAAGACCTGCCCAGCCAGCCTGCCCAGACTCCACTTGGCCACACCACTGGGGAAGATGGAGTGCCACAAAGGCAGGTCACAGTCATGGAGGTAAGTTACTCCTTAGGACAGGCTTTCTTAAGCCTCCAAGGGCAAGTTTAGCCAAAACCTTTTCAACATAACAATGATTTCAGGGCTAACCATCAGCAAAATCATCTCACTGAATGCTCCAACACCTTCAGATAGGCTGTTCGTCATATGCAGGAGTGTTTTAATGGGCATGGTGATATGAGTCTTACTTGTCCACTTTTATTTCTTACTCCCCACTTATTCTTTGTCCTCACTGTTTTAGGGAACAGACATTGAAATGTGTTCAGAAATGCCAGTCCTCTTGCAGTTTCTCATGCTACATTTTTTGAAGTAAAGAGAGCTAGTAGCCTCACTTCAATAGACAAATTCAGTATTTATCCTTCTGATCTGCTCTCCCAGATTTCTTACTATCAGTCCCACTTCTTTTTTCTGTCTTTTCGTCTGTCACAGAAGACGGTGTTCACTGCTGGCACACCAGACCCAGATATACCTCCCGTAGCGTTTTAAAGATGCTAAAAATAATAGTTAATGCAAGTAGTGCTCAGAAAGTTGTAAATACCAGTTGATGCAAGTAGTGAGTAATGAGCACTACACAACCTCTGGTTTAGCTGAGGAGAAACAGTTCTTACCATGGGGCAAATACGTAACGATGTGTCATTGGCAGAGGCAGAAAAGTCTGATTCTAGCAGGCTGTCCCCAAACAGCATTGCCTCCGAATGCGAGTATTTGCCCTGAATAAAATGTTTGTGCTCCCTGTCTTCCTAACATCAGCCTTATGGTAGTTAATGTCACCTTTTGACAGCACTAAAGAAATACATCTACAGCTGTAATATGTAAAGAGAGGACTGTCTTAAAGCTCTTGAGAGACTTGGCTCATTCCTTTTTTCCAGGACAGTTGCTAATATTTGCTCTTTGTCAAAGGTACAAGTCCAGAAGTTGGTAAATTTTTTACTAGCTGAATTAACTGTCACTGTAATAGTAACCAATGAAGAGGAAGTAACAGATCACATGCATGCACCTCTGTGACCACAAACACAAATACATACAGACAGATGTACAGATACACACACATGTGCGCTATAACATTACACACAGAGGAACATGGCCACATGTGTGGCTGCATGTATATTAATATACTTACACTCTATAATCAACAGTATTGTCTTCAATATAAAGACATTAACAAGATATTTTCAGAAAGAAACGTGTCTTTTTCTGACATAAAGAGAACCATTCGGCAGAAAGTAGCAATCTGTGGTAGGTTATTGATCTCTCTCCATCTATTAGCAAAACAAATATTTCCTTATTGCAGTCTGAAGCAATAAGCAAATAATATGCCTTATACTTTGCTGTCCTGCCTGATCTGGATTTTGAACTTACGAAATTCCTGTGGCTGAAACCAACATTGTCAAACCTTTCACCTGTCAATGTGTTGGGTTAAGGGCCTTTTCTGAGGCCATCACCAATTTCGCCATCCAGCTCAGTAGCAACAATAATGGTGGCAGGAATGAACCTTGCTTTTCCATTTCTTCCTCTCTACAGCTGCTGTTAGACGTGCCACACCTACTGCGTAGTGAGCCTCCTCACACAGAAGTCAAATAAACACTCTGTGCTTTGGTTAATGCTTTCTCCGAGTGCAGCTTCAGCTAGCTGGAAATGAGAAAAGCGTAACTCAGAAGTGGCTTGCCTGTCCCTGTCTTGCCTGTTTGATGCAGGGTAGGCACTGACCTAACTCTTATCAATGAGTCTGAAGCCAGATTTGCAGCAGAGACGGGCAGATATTAGCGCTATCTGCAGTGGAGCTCTCCCAGGTTTATAACTCTTGTCTCCAACCCTTCCTTGTTCGAAGCTTTTGTCTCTGCGGTCTGAAAGGCTTGTGCTTCAGGGGAGCAACTGGTAGTATGACACAAGCATGTTGCTTTTTGATCAAGAAGCTCCTGATACACACTTCTTATCTACATCCCACCTCCTTCTTGGGTAAAAAAAAAACCAGGTTTTATCAAGTTGATGTAGTTTGTAACTGTCATTGTCAGTTCTGGGAATTTAATCATCTTAGTGTTTTTCAGTCTCAGCGCTAAGATGTCCATGTGTGACACTTCTCACACAGCCAGCTCCTCCCCGCTGAGCAAGCTAGTCCTTAGTAGCACTCTAGAGATTTCATAGAGACAACCTTCGCATTTGTGAGAAAAGTAGACTACAATCTCCTCACACAGCCTTAGTAACCAAAAGGACTTGTAGTTAGCAAGTTTTCTTGTAACTGCAGTGTCAGTTACAGTGTTAGCCACAGAGCCACCCACGAACACCCGTAGTAATGAGTTGAATCCAACCTTAGCAGATGGAGGGGGAAGTGTTTGTTTGCAGGAAATGAAGCAAAAATAAAGCAGAAAGTGCTTTTATTATTTTCACACAGTAGCTTTGAGGCATTATTCCTTTGAGAAAGGTTATTCAAGATCTAACATGGTGAAAAGCAGGATCTAGATCTAAGTTCCTGCCTCTCCAGCCACATCTTTTGACAATCTTTCACAATGTCACATAATAGTACAATTTCAGGTATTTGGCATTAATCCCATGTATTACATCCAGTTTTCACCTCATTGCTGGCAGTTGTTCTGGCAGGAAGACTCTTATGACCTGGAAAGCAAGCCTGCTTCTATACAGCTCATCACTGGAACAAAGTGTTTGGGAGTTCTCAAGATACCTAATCTTCTTTCAGTCACTGACCCAGAGATTAAGGAAATGGATAATGCCAGCCCAAAGTGTGCTGGATCTCATGTTTTGTCTCACAGAGCAACTAAAGAATCAGCAAAGCTGTTCCATCTTTTCTTTCTACCCTTTAATACAAAGATAACGAAACCAACAGGAGTGCTGACAGGTTGATTCCAATGGATAGTCCCACCTCTAGGAACCCAAAAGTCAAATTTTCATGGGAATGGGCCATGACTTTTTTTTCCTCCTTCTAAAAGATCACTTTTGGTGAATCCAGCATCCAGGAAGAACAAAGCATGCTAGTGATCAGCCATAACAGTGTATAAATGAAAGCAGTGGATACTAATGAGAACCCCCTTAGCAACACATCCCACTACAACCTTAGAAATATCTGGGTTTTCACTCCTGGGTAAATGTTCTCAAAGGAAACAATGAAGGTGGTGGGCAGATACATGGCAGACAGGGATGTGGGAAGATAAAGGTTTGCCTGAGAGACAGTGGACACTGAGTTTGATATTGAATTTCCAATAAAACTCCATCTGATTTAAACAGATATAAAGAAGGAGCTTCTTAAGCTTTTAACCTAAAAATTCCCCATTAACAGTAATACAGTCTGTGCAAAGAGTCCTAAGCTTGTCTATGCAACTGATATATTAGTCTCTAGTATTTATTCAAGTAGCATCTGTTTGTTTCTAGGCATTACAAACATTGCCAGGAAGCGCTATCACTTACTGCACATTACTTTTCAGATTTGTTTCATTACATCTGGACTTCCTGAAACAATTACTGGAGTAAAAGGGCTGGAGAAACTTAGAGCTGGGAAACTAGTTTTAGTTCCAACCTGAAACCAACTTCTTGTCAATCCTTCTGACTGGTATAAAACCAACAGAGTGATAGATGTCTTTTGTCTGGGGAATTTGATTAGCAAACTATTCACTTAAAACATGTTTTCCTTCAGAGATCATTTGCAAATTGCTTCTTTCCTCTGCACTTGTCGGAAACAAATGTCAACATAATGCTGAAGTCCAGGAAATAATATTCTAAACCAGGAAAATAATGTCAGAGTTTGCACTGGGGCCTTCAGGGACGCAGGTTTAAAAGGCTGACACATTAGATTATCGATGACTCTTGGTACCAGAAAGAAAATTGATTTTGTTTCCCTGCCTCCTAGCTCTCACAAAACACATTTTCCAGTTTGTCATCTAGCATACTTGGCTAGAAGAAGTAGTAAGTTATTACAAGCAGATATTGCATAATACTAATTCTAAAAATACAAGGAAAAACAGAGTAATTGGAGTTGTAAGGTATTTACTCACCTTCTACAGTCGCAGCCACATGACAGTGCTCTCTTTCAGGAATTATGGGCAGTATCTTTGTGGTCTGTGCAGTCAGTGGAATTTGCTGTTTGCTGGGTTTCACTATTGAAAGTTGAAATAATTATTAGATATATTATTAAACAGCAAATACATCTGCAGAGTGTTAAACACTGAATCTACAAGTCTGAAAATAACTGAGACCTGTCTGCACAAGAGGCAGAGCCAGGTTTTCAGAGGGATTTCAGTGCCTAGAGATGCAGATACATGACTTTTGGGAACTCCCAAAAGCTCTAACCATGTTTTGTATTTATGGTGGGACTATACCATGCTGATCCTAAGTCTCCCTGGGAAGCAGCTTGAAGTAATTTGCTCTTGGAAATTTTACTGCTAGTGAAAATACAAAAGCATGCAAATTTGAGGTTATATAAGAATATCCCAAAATACAAAACCCTACAGGTGGCCAGTTAAGCAGAAACAACTAGAATCTAGAGTGTGAACTTTCAGATACATTTTCACATAAAGGCAGCACAGATTGCTGCTCAGAAACACGATTTAACTTTGCGACACTAACCCTAACTTGTCATACACGCAGGGAGAGCTACTGGGTGTCATCCAGTTGCTAACAAAGATGACAGCATGCATCTTAGAAGCAGGGAGTGATGCCTTTAGCATGCTGGCAACACAGATCCTGAAATGATAACTTACTGGGATGCAGATATAGAGAGGAAGAAATAATAGCATTGTTGGGCAAATGAACTCAGAGCTGTTGATCCAATGCATTTTTCAAAGAACTACTGCAGAACACAAATAATACTTTAACTCCACCCTGTCCATCCTGTCCCTGACCATCCATAACTTCTATAAACCTACAAATGGGTTTCTACTGAGTTTATAACAAGAGGAGGATCTGTGCCACTTAGATTTAGCTACCTCCCTTCTCCATTGACTTTATCATTTGGGCTTCTCCCTTTATAAATGCAATTAAAAAGTAGAGTTTGGATCTTGGTAATTAAACCAACAGAATATGAAAAACGAAGTTAAAATAAAACTGGGGTAGTTTTAAAAATAGCAGTGGGTCTTGTTTTACCCTCAGGATGAACCTGGAGAGAATGGAAATGTAGTCCCTTCAGAGCCTGTGTGTAGCACTGTTCTGCATTCATGCAAACTGAGCAGAGAAAAGGCCCCTTGTGCGTCAGTGCTCTATGGAAAGCTTGCAGGGACTATAAAAAGCTCCCTAAAATTACCTGCATCCTATAGATTTTATGCTCCCATCTGAAAAATAAAAAAAGCCCCAAAGCCTTATTAGCTTCACATTTTTCTCTGGAAATATTGCATCTCAGAAACACATAAATCTGTGTTAAATACTGAATATTATGACAAGCTTTGTTTTTCCCAGCATTATTCATAGAAGTTGCAGAGGAAGAGACAATTACTCATCTATGTCAGGAACTGAGAAGGATCAAAATCAAGCATGTGATGCTTCACTTGGCCAAGATTAAACAAATTTCTCCTTTCCTGGCTTTGCATCTATTTGCTGCTGTAAAAGCAAGGAGCAGTGAATCTGAACTCACTGGGATGCCAGCCCTGAGCCAGTGATGCCACTACTGAGCCAGTGTTTGCTTCTGTTTTTAAGTTGTCGACTAACCTGAAGCTGTAGAAACACATCTGAGAGCTGGCAGAATTTTGCCTATTTCTTTAATAGGATAGCACAGAAAACAGTACAGGAATTCAAATGACTGGGAGGAAATTTGTCTTATTATTTCTTATGCGCAAATTACAGCTATCAAGCCCACTTATATCAAATTCTATGAATGTCACAAATTCTGAACAGTCCAGAAAACAATCACAGGCCAGAATCCCTGAGGTTTTATTCTCTGAGTCCTGGTTGTCACCATGATCCTGCAATGTCCTTCTTTCAGGATAAGTTATAAAATTACCATCCATCAGAATTAACTTTGCATTACTGTGAGCCAGCTAAATGATTCAAGGAATCCTGTATTTGTACCCTAAAATGTAATGAACCAAACTGTGAGTCCTTAAGTCTAAAAATGAGAATATTTTTCCATTTGAGCAACATAGAATAAGGCATTGTGTTTGAAATAAGATTGCCCACACAGACTGTAAATAACAGTATGAATAAATAAATAACAGTATGATTTCCTGTCTGCACAGTCCCATTCTAACATAGGAATGGGAACAGGCCTTTTTTCTAATATACCTTATGCTGCTTTCAAAATAGGATAAACATAAGCAAGGAATGTCATTCTTATGCTAGAAAGAGAAGGTCTAAATGGGACTTTATAGTGACAGACTTCTAGTAATATAAATTCACACTTACGTATAACCCATAGAATTATATGAATGAAACTTCCAGTATGAAAAGGTCCTGCTAGGCAGATTCAGTCTAGGTATTAAAACACCCTGATTTATGCAATGTTTCTTGTGCAAATTCTCTTGGGTATTTTTTCACAGTTCATACACACTGGCCTGCTGCCAATAAGTGATTCTGCGCCATTTTTTCAGGTTACAGCTATAAGAGAATAGCTATTATCACTTGCTAGTAGTGGAAAAGGTACTACAGTGGTTCAAGAAAAGTGGGCTAAGGAAAACATATAACAATAGGGTAAGTATAGCTGCCTTCCCTTTCTCTGGAACTGAGGCTGATTTAAGCAGTAAGCTGTGCATGACAGTTTAGCAGCTTCTGAGTTTTTTAAAAACATTGTGGGGAATACTATCTAGTCCTTGTAATTGCAAATATTAATTAATTAAGTTGTTCCAAAACCTCTTCTACTGCCTCTTCAATTTTAGAAAACTCCTCAAAGAAGTTCTTGCCAGAAAAGTATCCTGTGTGGGAATCTCTCTAAGAGTCTGTGTCATGAACACGAAGAAAAAAAATTGACTTTTCTTCATGGATTATTTTCCATGTGCTACTACTGTCAATTTCTATTAGGTATGAAAATGCTCTGTGTTTGGAAATACAGATCAGTCACTTAAAGAATACTTACTTCTTGAGCTGAAGAAAAAGCACCCTCTACTCTTTCCTTTCTCTTGCGGCTGCATTTAAGAGAAACTGTGTTTTGTCAGTTCATACCATTCAAGAGACTGATTTACACAAATGCAATGACAGAACCAGATCCGAAGTCTAGAGAAGATGCTCTGTACAGCCCACATTGCAGTGCATACTTTTTTGGCTTAACAGCACAGACAATGTTTAGTCAAATTCATGACCACAATGCTTCAAAGCTCCCATAGTGTCCTGGGTTCAGCATAACGTCCTGGGTTTAAACCATGACACCTATCCTCACTATATGTGCATAATCTTTTGTAGTACCATGAATTCAGAAGGCTGAAACTTTAATCCTACCTTAGAGAATATACTATAGTTTTCCTCCTTCCACTGGCCATCAGGCTTAATGGTTATGATTCATGGCCACAGAGCCACTAACAGTTTCACAATACTTGCATCTATACTGTAAATTACCTTTTTGTAGGACCACAGTGATTTTAAGACATTAATTTCCTGAGCCTACCTAGGAAATCATTCTCATTCTCAAAGTATAGGCTTCCTTCTTTTATTTCCCTTAGCCATCTTGAACTTTGAATAACCTTTTAGTAGTATCTATACATCTTTTCCTCTATATGATACATTGTCACATCCTCTCAGACACATAGTTATTTAGTCTCATCATGGTGTTTCCACAGTACTGTCTTCAGTGGGTATCAATGTTTTATTTCAAGATTCCAAGCTATGCAATAGTCATAGTGAAAATATTATCAAGGGCTGTCAAAGAAGTCATCTATGACTATTTATAATCCATTATAACAATAGTAAATCTTGAATTTAGCAACTGTGAACAGAATAAACTCTTTCATATGGTCTTGATTCCACTTTAAATTCTACTGGTATAACCTGGGAAATTGACTGGATTGACTGGAATTAAGGTGTGTGAAATCAAGTAATTTAATACTAAAATAAACCCCATTATAGCAGTTCATACAACTAAGCATCTATCTGGGTTAAGTGGATAAATTTAAGTGAGAGGCACATAGAAGTAAGAATGACAGACTAGTAAGGGATTCATATTCTTTTCAGTAAGATCTAGTAAAACTGGATTTGAATTTTCATAAAACTTCATAATGAAAAATGCCTTTGGATATACAACATTAAAAATGCCATCGTGAACATGCTGATAAAACAGATATGGTACCAGTGAAGCTACCTAAAACAAAAGATGTCAGAAAGAGAATTCTTTTCCTGCAGGATAAAAATAATGACCTCATAAATATATCTTAGAGGTAGCCAATGCTGTAAGAGTGAGAGGCATAAACTGTACTCACAAGAGAATTCATACAGACAAAGAGCTATTCACTCTTTTCTAGGTGAAATTGAAACGCCACAAGTTACTGAGTTGTAGAGAGAAATTACTGAGTCTCTTCTTTCTCCTCAAGAACTAACAAGACAAACAGCAAAGTACCCAAGCCTAACCAAATTCAAAACATGTTTTCATTTGCTGGCTTTGTGTTTGTTTTTGTTTGAAGCAGGGTTGGTTTGCTATTCAAAGCTATAATTCTATAGGTTCATGTTAATCTTTTTAAAGATAGAGCTGTCTTTATGAAACCCAAATCCATGGAGTTTATTAAAGCATATGACTCTCTGAGCAATATCAGTAACACTCAGAGCTACAGCTGTTAATTTCCTCTCACAAAGAGGTTTGCCACCAAATCATAATTTCTGGAACCAAAACTTGGAGTTTAGCCATGCCATTTAATTTACCTGGGCTAAACATACTACACTCTTAGAAGACCATATTTTAATTCCTATCTGAAACTAGAAAATTGTAGTTTGGGGGACTTTTTACCTAGAAATAGGCTACATAGTGCCAGCAGAGCCATTCCCTGAGTCCTCCCACAGCCATCCATTCCATCCTTCGGTTAGCATATTTTATCAAGTCATAAATCCACAGCACACACATACATGTATGTGGCTATATTTTTCATACAAACACAAAGCACTCAGCTGCCAAACTTCAAATTTGGCACACAACAGGACCTAAAATTAAAAGGCAGTAAAACCCCAAAAGTCATTAATGCAACACATTCGAGACTGGGAGAAGCATTCCCAGGTGATATACGTAAGTCTTCTTACAGTTTTATTGTTGGAATTTTTTTCTTTATCTTTTGTGTAGGAACAAGGTTACTCTGAAACAAACCTGAAGCATTCCTTTGCAGGAAAGACTTAAAAGGTCTTTCTTGACCTTCTTATGCCTCAAGATTTGTTAGGGTTTTATTTAACTTTTATATCACTTACCAGGAAAAGGATGAATTCTAGTAGCAGATATGGTTCTTCTTGCATGTCTGGAACCATTTCTTCTTAGAATAGTAGAAACTGATGCTGTTACTCTGTGTTTACAATCTGTTTTAAACAAAATGTGTTAGCTATAGAATTACATTCAGCTCTGATTGGAAGGAAAGCTGGTAAAGCCCTTATTCTTAAACAGCTGGACACCTTCCATGAAGAAGCAGGAAGGTTTTGAAATAAGGTGATGAGGAAAAGCAAGGGCCAGATGGTTTATATTATTGTGAATGAAATTTTCTGGAAATTCCATTCAGGTTTGCCCCTTTCAAATTATTCTCTCTCAAATTGTACTGTGCACCTTGGATAAATTTTGGAGATTTATAAAAATGTACATGTTCCGGCACAGGTTCAAACTCACACTGTTGATAGTGGAATAGCAAGGATGGAGGGCACTGGCATCCTAGGAAGCTGACTGATTCCTTTTAAGTGTAGGGTGTTTATCTTAGGAAGCATGGTTTGAGAGCAAGCTCTATAGCACTCAGAGAGATAGAGCTGAGCTGAGCAGCTCTGATTGCTCCTCAGCACCAAGTTATGGCTAATCCTGTTCTACCGTGGCAGCAGTTCAGGGCTCAGCAGGCTTCTGATGACATGCTCACTCCAATTCTACAGAACTGATGTTTATCTTTTTCTTTTGGGAGCACTGGAACACTTCAGCTTTAAGAAATTCATTAAATTAACATTATTTAGGTCATGATTTTTTTGTGAATAGCCACTGGAGATCTAAAGCACTGAAGCCCAAAGCATGCGCTGTAACAATTAATGTCCAAGGAAGCTCTGGGAATGGTTGTAAGACAAGTGGAAGAGAAAAAGCAAAAAACCTGCTTCTAATTTAGCTCTTTTGTCATGGATTAGTTGTAACCTCCAACAAGTTTATTTGGATATTTTATTTTATCCCCTCATGGAAACAATGTTTCAGAGGGTCTCAGAGCCTGCCTCACAGAATGTCTTGCAAGGTCTCAAGACCTTGCATATTTCTGAACAGCTTTCAGTGGTGCTTGGAAAAGAGGAAAAATACCAATCATATTACAACTGGAAAAAATCTTAGCAGCTGTTTTAGTCACATAGTAATATTCTGCTGTGTTCTTTGGACACCACTGGAAAAAGCAGTGTGTAGCCTTGCAATTAAATGTGACATCAAAACATATACGTAAAAGGAATACAACCCTTAAATCTGCTTGGTTTTTTATCGATAACAATGTGACGTTGTTTATAATGTTATATATGATAAATTTAACCAATAAAACCACACTATTCTTCTATCAGCAGAAAATGTATTCTAGAAGCAAGTCAGTGATTAGAAGCCTCAAAAGGGCATCTTTCCTCCCTGCTTGTGTCCATGACGATTCTGAAAAATGTGCATTTAATAGAAAACTGATGTTTAAGAATAAAGGCAGTAAATCATTAATCATCACTACTAATAGCTCTGCATTTAAAATAGGATGTTATGACTCAAAGAACAGAAAATCATATTCATTACATTTATAGGTAGCTTTCAAATTACAAATAAAAGTTCTTTAAATTGGAGCATATAATAGCCTACTTATAGAGACCGAATGTATGCTCTATGGGAATTTACGTATATAAAAGAGGTCTCAGAATTTGGTTCTAGCAATAAGTAAAAGATGATGTATTTTAACCAAGATAGTCTGATAAGGCATTTCTTTAGCAATTTGGGGGGGTGAGCAGGAGGAAGGCTCACAGATCTGCCATTTTAAGCAATAGTTTTGCTTTGTTTATTCCTTTAAAATATATGCATGAAATATTTACATTATGCTAAAATAATCATAGAAACATTTTGTGGGGGGGCACCCTTCTTCCTTCTGTTATGATTAAATCTAGGCTCCTATTGCTCTTTCATTACAAAACTGCCTGTCATTACAAGGAAGATGATCAGGGTACTGGATATGGCTTATCATTTTGTTATTACCACTGCAACCAAGGTCTCCATTCAGCAGCTCTGGACTACAAGGGGAATGGACATCTGCCTGGTAATAGCAACTAAATGCTGATTGCCTAGAGGCATTCTGTGCACTCAGGGCTGACAGAGCCCAGAAAGTCTCAGGAAAGTGCTATGAAGAGCATCAAGGAGCTGTTATCTCAGGTACCAGGTTAAGTAACACTCTTTTCACACTGATGAAAGGAAGTGTGCTCCCTGTGTCACCTATCTGACTTGGGATGAAAACCAAAGATCAGCAGCTCACAAGCCTTCCATTTTCTGTGCTTTGTGCAGAAGACTTTTCCTTGGATTGCTCTGAAGTCTCATGTTCAGAGTACTGCAACACTTTTATTCTTGCTTTCTTCAACGTATATTGCTAGCAGAAATACTGTAAATCTGGTTTCAGCCTGTAACCAAACTGAATTGCATAGGAAGAGCCTGTCATGGCTGTTGAAAACATTGCAGAATGAAACACTTGCTTCAGACTCTGAACTAGCAACAAGTTCTTTTGTAGGAAAGTTTTAGTCACTTGGAATAGTCAATACTGCTGATTCAGAAATCGCAGCACAATAACTTCTTCACTGAAATAACAGCAACAATAAGAAATGGTATCTGGGCTTAATTCAGCTCTGGGGAGAAGGCAGCACAGTTTGGTTCACTTGCATGGGATTACATCACTGCTGCATTCAGACAACCAGTTTTTAGGACAGACAATTGAGTGCATATCACCTCATACCCAATTTTTCTTGGCCGTGACCTAGATGAATCATCTTCAGGAAGGAAAGGGTATTTCCATCTGCTTATATTTGCCATTGGCATTTCTGCTTAAGACCTTCAACAAGGTTCAACTGTAATTGTTTTACCTACTGTAATCAGGCTGAAACCAGTTCATCTCGCTAAGGATCAGAGGCCACCAAGAGTCTGTCAAAACCCCTATATTTTATTAACCATCAATAAGCTTGAGCTTGCATCCACAGTTCAGACATGAGAGGTGATAGTATCAATCATCAGAGTATTTCAGTCCCCCTATAAGAAACTTTTACTGTATTGCAATACAAATATTGGTGTCTGAGGCTCATTAGTAATCAACACTTTTGTTATTGTAAATTAACACATTTTCATTGCATAGAAATTTAAATTCATGCAGATTAACTTTTTGTTACTTACAATTTTGTTCATTTTCTTGGACTATTTTGTAGATGACAATTAAAACAGTAAACACAAGAACTACTACAATCATGGTGAGCCAAATGATCTTCGTCATACACACTGGATCTGTCCATAAAATGTAAAAGAGACAAAATGAAGCAGTAAATCACAGGCAAAAAAAGCAGAACATTCACCCTTGCTAGATTTTTGGATCATGCTTATCCCCACAAATACAGCTTTAAAAAGATAAAATTATGCTTTTCTTTTTCTTTTTTTTTTTTTTTTAATGCCTTCTTTGTTGTTTGACACCAAGTTTCCCATCTGGAATTTAGCTTAATTTTCACATCTATCTATCTCCCCATGTCTAAACTAATTATAGGTAACTAACTGAATGAAAACCTTTCCTATTTGTATAAACTACTATATGTAACTCAGCCAGGAAAAAACAATGCTTCAAAGATCAACATTTATACTTAAGGTAGATCAAGGGTAATACATATCCCCTTTTTGTTTGGATGGAGCAAAGAAGGAACTGGTCCACTGTCCAACACTGGCCTTCACTGGCATTTGCAACCTCCTTGTCCCTCTTCATATATGAGAGAAGGTAAGATTTTCCATATAGAAATTTTCTCATCGGGAAGTGAGGAAATGCCACTAACAGGACCCCTCTGGGAAGTTTTTTAACTAAGTCTGCCTTAAGGGAAAATCAGCATGGGACTGGATGTAGGAGGTAGGCTGCTCTTTTGGACAACAGCTGCTGCAGAATGCACACACATTCCATGGGTAATTAGCTCAGTAACTAGTGCAAACCAGGACTATATACCACAGAGAAAGGATGTGGGGAATTTTCCTCCCTGGTGATTCAAAAGGCCTTTCAAACTTCTTCAGCAGCTGCTTGTTAATGCATACCTTTGCACTGTCAGATAACTATTAGAAAAAAACCAACTATATTGCTATGACTCATATACAATCAAATTACAGACCATAGCCAAACCACTGTTTTCCTTTCCTTGCCTTAGATTAGCATAATTAGACCTACATCAACTTCCCCTGTGCATCTTCTCCACTGAGAAGTCATGAGGTAACTGCCAATAACCCCATGGCACTTGGAGGCAAACAAAGCTCATCCCTCCTAATTCAGAACTAAAAATATCTTTTATATTGTCCTCCAGGCTCCTTTCAAACAGAGTACTCTACCCTGTCTTGCAGTGACTTGTAATGACTTGAACATCAGCCTTGCTTAGCAAAAGCCATGAGCACCTCTTTAGCTTTGTTTTAAAGTAAATAGAAAAGAGATGTGTTGTTAATTTTTATTGTTAATTTGAGATAACCACTTCCCAGAAAAACACCATTAGCAAAGGGTGGTTAGCTTACAGTTTTAACACAAGTTAGGCGGGCAAGGTACAAACTATACTCCTCTCCTAGCTACACCTATATTTCTTTTTAAAAAGCAACTAAGCTGCCCTCACTTTTCTAAGATCTTACCTGGTTTTATTTAACACAGGTTTAGTCAACTCCAAAACAAGTTGTTTTTTTTTTGCAGCAAAAGTACATTATAAAATGCATTTGCCATACAAACCAAAATGAATGTAGTAATTCATCAATTCCCAGGTGGCAAGTGTTGCATATAGACAGGCTGGAAGCCACAGTCAGGGAATCTGCCAAAAAACTCCTGCAGCACAAAGACAAATTAAAAAACCTGACAGGCTGTCCTCTGGGAAAACTAAGTCTAGTTCAGCTGAAGGTTTCTCTTTTAAGTGTGCTGTAGTAAGGCCTTATAAAGTATACTATGGGAGGACAACGGTAAGAAAAGTTAAAACCATCTCCTGGTTCTTCTGCCATGCAAGTTAACAGGAATTTTTCCATTTACCTCCAGGACAACAGGGTTATGCCATTATCAGGGAGAGGTGAGGAAAAAATGTAATTCCAGGTTTTGTGATACATGCAATTTGTGACTCTATCAGGGAGAGGTGAGGAAAAAATGTAATTCCAGGTTTTGTGATACATGCAATTTGTGACTCTGTCACTGCTAAGCAAAAAACTGTACAGACACTTCCTTTGCGCTGCTTCTAGGGGGAAAAAAAAATACCACAACAAAAAACCACAGCTAAACCTTCTTTAAATCACTATGGAAACCTTCAGTTAGCTATGAAAGATGATCTTTTACTAGGGGATGATCAAAATTGTATTATCTTCTTGTGAGATACCTAAATACTTTCAAACAGTTGCTGAAACCAGAGAACTTACTGATTTTTTTCAAGAGTGGTATTGTTTCTGGTTTGATTTCTATTGTGACTCTCCTTTGTAACTTACATTCCACATAAGTCTTCAGTTGCATTGAAATATTTATACAGTCATTTTGGTCTTCCATCATTGCCACCAGACAGGAATGATTTAGGTATTCTTCGGCTGCATTTCCTCCTCCGACTGTAGAATTGTTAATGTGGATTTCCAGCAGGTAGTAACTATTATGCTCTACTTCTTTCTCAGAAACCATAGTGAAATTAAAATATTTATACAAATAAATAACATCTTCTGATTTCACTTCAAGCGAGCCTTTTGCTTTTGGAAATAAAAATTGAAACTGTTATGCAGCATGTGGTAGACAAAGAGACAACTCTCAGAAAGAACAATAAACTGAGTTTTCCATCTCATCTGCAAAACATAGAGTAGGCTTTTACATTACTGACTTTGATAAAATAGGAAAAAGAATACCATGTAAAGTTATTCTGAACAGATCTGAAAAGTATTGATTAGCTATACAAAGTATGTTTCCCTTACAAATTATAGCCCCTTTTTTGCTTTACTATCAGCTTCTGAGCTTTTCATTTTTGTGTGGTTGTCACAGGTAACAGACAAAACTCAGGCTATGAAAAAAAAACCCAACCAAATAAAAGCCATATGATGATAGATATTTGAAGTGTACATCTAGTCTATCTGCTACCAGTTGCAGAAGGTTCTTGTTTTATTTCACACAAGCTGTGAGTCTTGCAGAATGTTAACAAGAAGCATAGGCAGGTGAGACATTGTCAGGAGTCGTAAAGTTGTGTAGGTATGACTGAGAACAGTTTGTCCACACATTTTGTCTTGTAATTTTCCATACTTGCTAAGACAGCTATTTTGTAATAAGAAAATGAACTGCATTTCTTATATTCAGGACTTGGCCTGTGGCCAACAATGTTAGGAAAGCAAAATTCAGAGGCATTCTCTTCCCCAAAAGTTTCCAGATACTTTGCAAGTATCTGCATACAGCACAGAAGGAATATGCTGCTACTGAAAAGAATGTGGTTGCTGCTGAACTCTTCCCTATATTGCTGTGCCGGCCCTTATTCAGTGCTGCCTTCTTTGAAACATGCAAGGCCGTTTCTGATACTACACAGTTGTGGCCTATTGTAAACGGCAAGCACAAAAATGGTTATTTCTTGTATAGCTGCCATAAGAATGGTTACTATCTTTGAATTAGTTCTTCAGATACTTGCTAACAACCTATCTTCTTATAAGGTCTAGTGTGAGGTGTCCCTGCCCATGGCAGGGGGTTGGAACTAAATGATCTCTAAGGTCCCTTCCAACCCAAACCATTCTATGATTTTATGATTCTGTTATAATATCAGCATGTATAATAAAATCTACATGTAGAGTTCCACAGTGACATTTAAAATCAAATTCAGTGTGAAAACTGATCAGAAACTACAATTCCTTAAAAAGAAATTAAACATTTTAGAAAATTTAGCAAGTTCAAGAGAATAAAGATGGGACTATCGGAGCATTCATAAAAGCCAGATGGCAGAGGTCAAATTTACAACAGAAATATTCCAGGTGGCTGTGATTTTATACAAGATCCTCCAAGAAAATAAAGCAGCGTTTTGCTATTGGCATGTTTCACTGACAGCAAGGAAAGAATGCCACTGAGAATTTGACATAAAACATGCATCTTCTAGCCATGAAAAGTCAAGCTAAAAACCTCCATTGTTCATTGATGTGCAAAGACCATAAAGAACCAGGAGCATATTAATTTTTTTTTTAACTACCAAATAAAACCATATCTTTTATGTTGTAATTAGCTACTGCAAAATTAAGTATTTCTCTTCCCTTACTTACTTTTTTCAGCTCCTAACCCTGATCCTTGATGATCAACATTCACGTCTCCCTTGGATTCACACTCTCTGTGTTTAGTATGGGACTGTTCCATCCTGGAAGACTGGCAAATACATGGAATGTTTTGGAAATTTGAATGATTTACAATGGCCTTCAGTAAAATAGTCTTGTTTTCTCTTCTTTGTTGCATTGATGCTTTGCAAGAATTGTTAAATGTGCAAAGTGGAAAAGTGGTGTTATTTGATGAGCAGGTGTCTATGCATGACACAATTACAGTGTTAACTGTGAAAAAAAAAGTGCACTGTATTAGAAAGACAGTCATATAGGACACATGAACAAATACGTAGCATCATGTAACAGAACTTTTAACCATTTTATGATGTAATGAGCTTTCTGTTTTGAGGGCAATGGCAGCATGTTGAAAGCATCAAGTGAAAGAAAGCAAGCACAGTGTTCCAAAACCTAGATACTGGATTTTATTGCTGAATTGTATAAAATCTCTTGTAATACTAACTTGAATTGGTGGTTGCATTCTTGTTTCAAAGCTGCCCCACTTTGATTGTACTTGAAAAGAAGATGAAAGCACTCATGTTTGGAGGGGGTCTTAGCCCTGGAACTGTGCAGCTGCATGGCACCAGTGTGATTATGTTGTAAAATAGCTATCAGAACAAAAACTTTTTTTCCAGTGATATTGAAAACACACAGTGAAAATACACAGAAATCTTCTGAATCCTCCAACCACATCCTTCACGTTCTCTTATATTCAATCAACAAACACAAATCTTAATAAGGACCATTGGTTTTGTAGTCATAGTCAAATTTCAGTATCAAATTACGGTAGCTAAGAGTACATTAATGCAGTTTTGGTAAGTAGCAAAAAACCCACATAGAATTAATTATTAATGAGTGTTATTTTAGCTCTCTTCCACATTAAAGGAGGGCTTATTGTACAAGTCTTGCATTTTTACTTGAGTTAATGTTCAACTGTTTTTTTCAGTATGAAAAACACTCTAAGAACAAAAACTTCTGGGACCCCAACATGGATGACGTGTTTATGAACAGAAATAACCACATCCTGGAGTTGGTGCAGCACTAACCTACAGTTTTGTAGTTGAGCTTCCACTTCTAGTAGTATGCTTGCATCTCTATGAAGAGAAAATTTTCCATCTAACTCCCATTATGAGTAATTGGATGAGTATGTTCCTAAATCCTTATGTATATAGAGAAAAACACAGCCTTTATTCGCTGCAGTGCTGAGCTGCAATCTAACAGCTTCAACAGACCACCTGTACTCACATAGCAGCAGGCTGACCTCAGAAACCATTCAGTGAAGGATTTCAGACAGGATACAGAAATGAAATCCAAAATCCAATGCAAAATCAATTATCTTCACTAACACTACATTAGAGAGTCATAAACTCCATATAAAACATGATAAATAGAACTACAAAATGCACATCCTATGCAGGCAAAAAAAAAAAAAAAAAAAAAAAAGAGAGAGAATTCATTTTAATACAAAAAGGAAAACCGTCAGACAAAATCTTGATCTTTCCCTGAGGCAAGACACAACATTTTCTCTAAACGCTTATGCTCTGACCAATGCAGCCTGAAGTGGAGCAGACTCCTGAGGTCAAATTCTTCCAGCTGAAGAAGGCATTTTGTGTAGAGCTTCTCTCTGGAGATGACTCAGGAGCAGGAACTGAATGGTTACTCTGCTCTCACAGCAAGGCGTGTGTGCATCATTTTAAAGGTACTGCTGCAGCTTTCAAGGTCAGCTAATGGTAACTCACTATCATATCCCTTCATCAAGGAATTTGTAAGCTGACTTGGGAATCCACACGCTGTGCTGTGACAGCAGTCTATCTTCAGCACTATGAAGTCCATTTTGGGCTTCACATCACAACTAATCAGGCTCCAGAACTGCCTGTGAGCTGTGTTATAGATAGGTAAATGCATATTATAAGTTTGATTGCTGTCCTGTTAGGGAGGGTGCTTACCTCCTGATCCTCTTGAAAGATCTCTAATGAGAAATCCAACCAAATTGCAACCCAGCATCAGCATTTATGTTCTTCCAACTCACAAGATTATGGACTTCCTAAGAAGTGATATATATTATTGATAAAGACTGTAACGTGGGCTGAAAGACTAGACTTGCCCAGTGGATCACATGGCAGAGAGATTGCTGTACCCACGAGAGGCTTCCACCTTACTTCAGGACTGGAGAGCACCCTCACAAAAGTAAACATCACTAGAAAAATGGAAGGGGTCTTGTGAAATCTGAATGCAGACAGACAGAAGAGTTAAGAGGATCAGTGAGATGAAACCATGCAAAGTATCTCTAGGAAACAGCTTTGTATTCAAAGATCTGTAACCCACATGCCTAATATTAAGAAGTTCTGTGATTATGAAATTCTTTTAGTAAGCCTCATTTTACAGGGTGTTCTTCCACAAAAAAATCCAATTCCATTGAAAAGAAATTATTCACAGGGAAGATACGAACTTGTAAAAACTTTCTTCCCATTAAAATGAAAATCATAAACATTTCATTTTGGATTGACTCGACTCCATTTGATCTATGATATTCCATTTTGAGTCAATTCAGCAGTATATGAAATTGTAATTTTTGTCACCTCTTTATGGAAATTATTGTCATCACATAATATTGTAGAGATATAAGGCCTACAGTACAAGTTGGGGAACACACAACTGATAGATTTAAAGAGATACACTCCATCAAGTAGCTGGACACAGAGGACAGGACTGGAATTGAGAGCACCACAATCCAAAACTACAACCTCCTGCTCTAAAGCAATCTAGTTTAAAGGTTCAATACCTTGTGTTCAAACAAGTGGGTTGCTTTACAAACATAAAGGAAACATTTCACTTTTGGCAATGCTGAACTGTATTCTTTTGATAAATTTCAAAGGTTTAGCATTTTTGTAAATTGATTTCTCCCTACATTTCTTTTTAATGAGAGAGTCACATTCGTATTCCCTCTGCAGAATGAAAATAAATGCTGGAGCATCCCCTGGGATAAAACCTCCAAGTTTCACTTCTATCTGTATACTTTACTTGCCTGCAATTTCACAGGTTATATTAAAAACCTGAAGTACGCACATAGTACGCACGCGATCCTGTAAAAGCCTGTAGAATTAGGAGGTCTTTGAAACTCATTTAGGAGCCCTTCACAGAGGAAGATACAGTGACTATGTTTCACACCTCAAAGATGTCCAGCAACAGCTCTGTGTGGTGAAGCCTCATGGGGTAAACAGCAATTTGAAACACCTACAGCAACTTCTGTACGTATTTTTTTGCCACAAAATCTGCCATAAAACCAGTTTCCAACAGAAGGTTTTCAATGAACCAGAGACCCAAGTTCCTTGGAATTTTCAAAATGAATAGTTCAATATATTTACCTTCTCACGTAATTCAGACGTTGTTATACCATCTGCTATATACTCATATAGCTTTTAGAACATTCAAAATATGACAATGATTCTAATTTTCCAGACGTAATTCTGTGCTGTATTCTGCTCATGTACTTCACAATCTTAATTTAGACACTCTGTGATTAAGATCATAGGCAGATATCATAATTGCAGTGATCATGCTATTGCAGCATAACGCATCTCCAATAAGAGCAATCTAGGAAAGCAATCATGGAAAATTGAAATAATTCTTTGGTGTTTGACAGTAGGGTCAATATTTTCTTCTGGTAATAATCATGTCATTGTTTAATTGCATGGTCTGTGTTAGCAAATACTTTTGATTACTTCTGCGTGGTGATAGAACATTAATTATTTCAATATCTGAAACTGACTCATCAATTTTATATTTGAAACTTCTGATAGCATACCAAGTTTGTTCATTTATAAACTATAAAAATCTATTAAAATATTCTAGTTACTGTCATGTTTATCCTTTGTGGTTAATAGAGATATAAATATAAATAACCCAATCTGGACTTTTTTTTTTCCAGAAAATTATGCTTCATAAATAATTAATTGCATGATGCCTGGGAACACATGCCATTTGGCAAAGGGATGCTTTTTATTATAACATTTATGTATTCAAAAACTTAATTGAGAATAGGTGTGACAGAACTATTTTAATGTTAATTTATTTATGGATTTTTAAGAAAGCACTGAATGTAAAACTTATACACATGTATTTCACATTCATCCTAAATCCAGGGTTGATCTTTAGGATCACCAAGATGTAACTGGCATTTATGTTACATGATTTGCTTCACTCAGCTACATTTATGCCACTCTACTTTTTGTCAGGTCAGCACTGCATGCTTCTTTCACAGACAGCATCTCATACCAGACAGAAATTGTACAATGTATTATAGGCATTTAAGTGTAGGAACTTAAAAAACAGTTCTTTTTTAAGACATGAGTGCCTGCTATAAAAGAACATACACGCTTAAACTACTCTCTTCATGAGGAAGATAGTAAAAGCACAGTTGTGTGGAACAAGTTACCAAGAATTTTGCAGTGTAGATAAATGAATTACAAACTCCATTCAAATTGCCACAAATAATTAACACTCTTGGTTAAAAATCTAACAAAAAACAATCTATATGCTTTGCATATGAGCACAGCATTCTGACGGTAGCTTTTAGGAAAGCATCTACCAAATTTTCAATTGCAATCAGAGTTTCAAATAAAGAAAAGGCTATTTTAGAAGCTGCTCACTCACCTTCATGGATTTTGAAAAATTCAGGTAAACATAAAATGAACATGGTAATTATTCCCAGGACTAATCTGAAGAGTTCTGATTTTCCCAAAAGCAAGCACATGTCACTGAAGCACTCCCATCTAGCATAGTGGTGGTAACTTCCTTCCTGGTTTAGCTTTTAACTTAGTGCACACTTTATGCAAAATAGCGTCTATTCATTTCCTTTTCCCAATATGAGCTTTCTTTTTACTTCTGGTGACATTAAGTTGTAGAAGGCCAAGTTTTGTTCTTACAGTGACATAGATGAGGATGACTCAAATGACTACACTGAAGATAAAACTCATGTACCAGGATGAAAATAGAAGAAAAAACAAACATAGGAACTATTTTATTCATTTGGGATAGTTTTGTTTCAGGAACATCACCCCCTAATGGCTACTTTCATATACCTTCTAAACAGTAAATGAATCATCTCTGCGAAGGAATTTTGTACTCATTTGGCTAAGCAGGTTTTAAAAAAATTATTCAGACCCTCATTATAAAGATGAGTCAGAACCACATGAGTCAGATATGGAGACTTGATTGGTTTATTTATATACATATGCCTTGGGGCTAGGAGAAAGATAATTTTATCTAATACAGAATCTTCAAGACTTCAATAGACTATGAATTTGTTCATTATGACCTAAAGTTTCTGATCTGGCAAATAAGTGAGGTACTAAGTACAATGAGATGTTCGTACTATCATTGCTGCTGTATTCTTAAAAGACAACAGATGTTTTGTCAATCTGTAGAGTGTCTTCAGTTTGTGTATTACTATCCTTTCACCACAACAAGACTGCACAGAGACACTGCTATTTCTATACATTGTAGTCCAATTATTCAGCTAAACTTCCTAGTTAACGGAGTGAAGTCTTTCCTTCTGTCAACCACTGTATTACATGAATTTTCTTACTGATAAGATTGCAAAGAACATTTCTGAACTGTTCCAAATAAAAGTACTCTGATTAATGCATATGTAAAAACAAATCATTTGACACATATATAGAGTATATGCAGTATGAAAGATCTGATTAATTCAGAAAGGTCTCTTCTGATGCAGTATTTTTCACAAATGCATTAAATATTAAGTAGTATCAAAATGAAGCAATGCTGTTGAAGTAAAAGAAGAAATGTCCTATAAACCTGAAATGTCCTTCTTGTCACCTAGTTATCTGAGAAGATCACTAAGCCAGGTGGAAGCAAATACAGCATTCATTCTGTAGAAAGACTCTTTATGGAGCTGTAGTGGATGTAAAATTGTTAATATGATGTTTTAAATGTAGCAGGTTTATGCAGTGAAAGCAATGAACCCAAAGCAAAAAGAACTGATTTTTCTTTTTGACAGTATGGTACAGCAGCAGTAATAGGGTACAAAATAATCACAAGTATGAATTTTAAAAGTAAAATACTGAACAACTTATATTTGTCATGTTAGCAATTTATATTTGTCATGTTAGCAAATTAGCTCTTCTTTGTGAGAGACTATTGCCCCTTAAGTATCTGCTGTATCATTTCTTTGTATTTTTCTGTTTTCAAGGTTAAATGGTGCTCACCCATCCTTTCTGCCCTTTGGGAATGGAGAAAATACTGGAAAATAACTGGAGGACTTTGTCAAGCAGTATGTGTATCTATCCCTTTCTGGTACAGTCAGACTTTCATCGCTGTTGGTACTGCCCAAGGTCAGACCAGAAACTGGCTATAGCATCACGCCTGCATTCAGCCTCGTGCAGTAATAGCCTGTGGAATACGTTGAGTTTGAGATTTCATGGAAGATTTTCACAAACTCTGCAGTAAGCAGATGGGGAATATCTATTTTAGGGCTATTGTGGTGGCAAATTTTAGTTTAGTTCCGGAGTTCAGGAGGCACGTATATGATCTGTCCACTCATCCCCCAGGGACACCCTAAGCTTCAGACACAATTGCCCCCAGGCAGCTCTGTGTGTGTAATGTAGCTGGATCATGTGCATGTGTGTGGCTTCACCCTCCAACTGACCTCAAAAACATTAGTTTTCCTTCCTGGGAACATACTTCCCTCCACCTAGCTAATAATTTTTGCCCAGCTGGAAGAATTAGTATTTTTGAAAACCCTGTCCTTAGGTCAAATTTAGTTAAAGTCAGCTAAATTGTTTAAAGTCAGACAGGATGAGAACAGGTAGGTGAAGCACACAGCATGTAGACCACATTTCCTTACAGAATTAGGCAAAGAAAACACTATATGCCTCATTACCACATCAAACTCACACCGCCACGCCTCAGCAATGATCTTGTGCGCCCTTAAATCAGTTCGATCTGTTGGAGGCACATCTGAGTGTCACACAGTCTATTAATTCAGAAAATTATACTTTCTTTACAAGGCAGAGGTCATCGGTAAGGTGCCGCATGATAAGGCTGGCAACGGCTGGTGTGTGTGTGCCCATTAGATGCAACTACAGGCCGCCTCAGCACCGCACGGTGCCAGGGTTCGGAGCTGGGGGTGTCAACGGCTGCCTCGTGCGTCACCGCAGATTTATTTCACTTCAGTGCGAGAGCTCGGACCCGGGGAGCGCAGGGCTTTATGGTTCTAGAAGGCCCGCAGGGGTGCCCGGGCCGGGCCGAGGCCTTGGAACCCACAGACCCCCGCCAGAGGGGATCGTCCTGGCCGCCGTTCCACTGCCCCGCCGGCAGAGGGAGCGCGGCGCGGCGGCCACAGCCTGGGGGGGGGGGGGGGGGGGGGGGGCGGTAGCGGCCACTGCCACCGCCCTGCCACGCGCGGCCACGCTCCTTCCCTGCCCCCGGGACTGGAGGCGGGGTCGGCGGTCAGGGGGCGTGTCCCCGCGTCCCGCCCCGCCCTCCCCGGAGGTGCCCGCGCGCGCAGGGGAGGGGCCAGGAGCGGGGCCCGAGGGGACCCGTTGTCGCCGGGGCGGTGTCGCCCCAGTGCCCGTGGCCCCCCGGTGCGGAGCGGGAGCGCTGGCTGCTGCCGGGCCGGGCCGTGCCGGGGCGGAGCGGGAGGGGCGGGGGGTGACGGGGCCTCCATCGCCTTTTTTCCCTTTCCCCGCCCTCTCCCAACCTCGCCCCCTTCCCGGACCTTGAGAGGTGAGAAGGGCGGTTGGGGCTCGGCAGCCAGAGGAGGGGGTCTGGGACTGCCGGGAGGGGGAGGAGAAAGCGAGGAGGAGGGCGAGGGGGGAGCTCGTGAGGGGCGGGCTCCCGCCCTGCTCTGTTCCGCCGGGCTCTCTCCTGCCGGCTGCCGCCCCGAGCAGCGCCCCGCGGCGGGGGAGGGGAGCGGTGCCAGCGGCCGCCGCTGTGGCAGCCCCGCCGGGCGGGGACGGGGTGGGAGTCTGGGGGAAGCGCGGGCAGCACGGGGTGGCTGGGGGGGGGGGCTGGCTGTCGTAGGGGGCTCCGCCTGGGGATCGGGGTCTGTCCGGCTCGGGTCAGAGCGGGGAGCCGGTAAAAGTGCGGTTAACACTGAGCCTTCAGGTGTTTGTATCTTAACCTTCCCGGTCAGAGTATGAAACAGTGGAAAACTACATTTTGTTGTGTTTTAAGAGTAGTCGGACAGAGCAGAGCAGCGACTGCCAAATCGGCATGATGGGGAGTGGTGTCGTTACACGGGGAAGAAAAAAGAAGTGTTGAACATCAAACAACCGCTGTTTATACGTGTTACTGGCTCATAGTTTTCCTTGAAGCCTTTTTGTGGCTTTAGGCTTTGAACTCCCTGGGCTCAGCGGTGTGAGCAGTGATGCAGCGTGGCAGTCCGGCTGCAGCTGAGCCGTCGGCGGCTCATCGTCACAGTGGTTTAGCAGCAATGCCTGTTCGTATGCAGTAACGCCACAGCGGGGAAAAAAGGAACGCTCGGGCTTGTTCTTTGCTTTTACTTAAAAGTCAATAATGCAATTACACAAGCTAAACTCCAAGTGCAGTCCTGTTTTCAAGTAAAAATACCACTCAAGTCTTCTTACTAGCATGAATAAGAATAAAACTTTGAACTCATGGTTATGTCAGTGTAGCTTTTGTATCTAGACAAACTATGTATTGTGAGGATGGGTCCTTTTTAATAAAACGGATCACAAGATGTATTTTCACGAGCAGTTCACCGGTTTTGCCAGAAACGATATCTGATCGTTTCTCATGAAGGTGTTTTTGCGTGAGAATTTCCAGAAGTGTATATGGAGGAATATCTACAAAAAAAAATAAAAAGCCTTGTTCTGAGACTTCGCAGGAGACTGTGTTCCCATCTTGTGTTTTTCCTGTTTTCCCCTTGATGAACAATGGTAAGGAGCAGGATATAACCAAAATGATAATAACAGTAACCCTCATCTAAGTCAGATAGTGTTTTCCTTTGCCCTGCGTCGGCTTCACTGACCCATCCCCCGAGCATGTCCTCTGGGTGGGCAGGTCGGCTACCGGAGCCAGCGTGTTTGCTCCGTGGCAGTAGTTTTTAACACATTGTGTTTCACAGAATTGCGGTGACTGCAAATTTAAAATAGAAAAGAATTCGTGTGAAGATGAAAAAAAATCTTCCATTAGACCGTTATGGTCGAACAGTGATTGCAAACTGGTGCGAACAGTGAGTGTATATTGGTGAACTTATTCCAACTCTCTGGACTTTTGTATCACGAGCACTTTTAAAAAGCTTGTTCTTTGGTTGTGTCAATCAATGTCTTGTGCTTTTTTAGTGTAATTCAGTTTTTCATGATGTGGTGAAGAAGATTACCTAATCGGACATAACATGACCCATAATGAAATTTTCTACAGCTCTGAAGAAACTGCAGTGTGATTTTACATTGCCCTTACAAAACTCTTACAATGGGAAAGCTTGCCTCAATTAAATTGCCTTTTATGATAGCAATCTTAAAAAGTAGAACTCATTAATTACAAACTAACTGTCCAGTTTTGCTTTTTTTTCCGTAAGAATATCTTTTATCCGAAGTTACCAACAAAGCAACTGCTGACCATAAATACATGTGTTAACTGGTTGTATAGCCTTAAAAAAACAATCATATGGGAGAGATGAGGCTATGTGCTCCAGGTGCAAGAATGAGGTGATGCCACTATTCAGACAGCTAGAAGGTTCTTGCAACTAGTAAAAAAGATCAGACCGTAAGAGGTCAAATATTAGGTATTGTGTTATGCCTGCAGGTGTCCTATGTTT